TCAAGCATCTCTTCGTGGTCATTTTTAAGCTTTCGGATGTGTTTGTGTGTTTCAGGCCCGACCCCATGGTTCCGCCGTTCGCCGCTGGAGGAGCAGATCTGGATCCGTTTGGGTGAGTCCGTCTCTTCCTGCATAACAAATCCCTCGAATCATTTAGTGGAAATCATTTCAGTGGTATATTTAAGCATCGCTCTGGTTTTGTTCTAATCTGGGATTTGGGGATGAACGGTCGGTCCACGTAGAGACGGAGCGACAGCAGCGGATTACTGGCGCTTGTGCAGATTCATTCTGCCCACTAAATGTCAGGCTAAAACCTTAAACAAGACAATGCCACAGAGAGGCGGCACATCCTGAGTCTGTTAGTCGTAGCATCAGATTGAGCTTTTTTTTTCTTTTTGTACCTACACAGACTTCATATTGAAGTCTACTTCCCTAACAGACTTTATAAATCACATTTAACCCTTTACTACCTCATTTGATTCCACTTAAGCTGTTTTAAGGTTGTTAAAATGATTTTATTTCTCACTAACGGTATCAGCGCTCTCACTCTAATATGATTACACTTAAAAATACTCATTCACAAGCTCTTATGTGTCATTTTATGTGAACTCCACCAGCTTCCTGCTTGATGGATTTGGTGGATTTGAACACTTTGGGATCTGTTCTAGAACCTAAACCTTTGTTTTGCTGATTGTAGTTTGGGTTTGGATGCACATTCTTACACACACACAGTGACAGGTTTCTTCTCCTTATTACATGAAGTTTAACGTCCGTCTTTATGGACCAGGCTCTGAGTCCTGACCAGCAGCAGCAGTTTGTTTCTACCGGCTAAGGATCATGGCTACACTCGGCTCTAAGCTGAGGCATTAATTGCATCGTATCGTCATTATTGCGATTCTCTCTTCATCTACCTCAAGTAGCTTTACCTGGAACACTTGCAGAAGGTGGGAAAATCTGCTGCCAAGATTTTGAATTAGATGCGAGTTTAGATTTCTACACAAAATATAGTGTCTTGTGTAAAATCCAGTTCAGGAATCTTGGGATCACATTTAGAGCCCAGCATGGTCAGACACCAGCAGCAGCAGGACTCTGAGGTCTTCTGATAAAAGGCCGGTGTGTAGCATTTAGAGGACTGCCTCAGCAGAGATGGACTACAATATTCATAATCACTTCTTTTTTCTTGCACATGATGTTTTTGTCAGCTTAGAATGAGCCCTTCACATCTGCAGCATCTGTTAAGTGGAAAAGTTTGTGTTCCAGTAAAAGCTAAATGTGACAATGAAAGTGACAGAACAGATTTCTGCACAAGTGGAGAAATGAAAATGTCACATCTGTGAGAAACGGAAACTTTTCTGAAGCAGGTGCTTAAAATTTGCACAACAGCAAATTATTATTTTTAGACCTGATTTTATTGTTTTATTTTATACTTCAAACGTCTCTTGTTTTGTGTGTATTGCTCTTCTTTTTGTTTTTATTGGGGCATCTGCTCTTACAGGTAATCAATTAGCTAAACTTTGTGACAGTGACGAAGCTGAATAATTCCCTCCAGACATCTGCTTTGTGTCGGCTGGTTCCAGCGCCTGCATCAGCCATCAAAAACATGCAGTGTATTCAATTTGTTGGATGTTTAGCTGCTACAACATAAAACTAACCTTCCTGATACGTCACTGCTTTGGATTTCTTTTAAATAACAAAACTGAAATTCAGAAAACGTCTCCTCGTGTTAAACCCTCCTTCCCTCCCTGTGTGATCCTGCCGCCTCTCAGATCTCGCAGTGGTGGGATGATAGTCGACCCGTTGAGGTCAGGGTATCCTCGCTCCGGCTTTGACCCTTCTAGCGGCATCCCAGACATCCTGCCTCCTGGAGCCGTTCCCCCGGGAGCTCGCTTCGACCCGTTTGGACCCGTCGGACGTCACAGACCAGGGTGAGTCACGAACACACACCTCCCTCTGTCTGACCGGTTCACGACTGTGAGGACAAACTGGACAACCTTGAGCTCGATGAATCAGAGAAATACAGTAAGTGTCTGTGTCACCGTCGCCGGGTCAGAGTGAGGTCTGAAAAACTCCAGTGTTTCTAAATGAGACGGCGAACAGCAGCTTCATAGCAGAGGGTCAGTGCACTGATGTCACTGAGTTCATAGCAGCAAGTTTAATACAACAGAATAAAGCACAACAACGCTGCCTCCGTTTTACTCATGGTGGTACCAGGTGGCCTCTTCATCTGAGTCATTCAGAGAGCTTTGGAAACCACCTCGTCATAATGGCAGCAAATAAAGCCTCATACTGATTACAGCTTCAGAAATTACATAGTTTACTGCGCCTCTCGGTATCATGCCAGTGTAAACTCAATTTCTTTATTAAATCAAAACTTTCATTTGAAAGGAACCTCCAAGCAAATTAAATGAAACATTCTTCACAGTTTTCTCACATTTGTACAGATTCATTGGTACATTAGAACAATTCATTGATTTATTGATCCCTGTACAGCCTGAACCATGAAATCATTTCCAGAAAAAGTATTTATTGAACCTTCTGATAAATAAGAAACAAGAAAAAAAAATCAATTTGCATATATGAGTTTTAATTTGTATCATTTTTGCAACATCACGCGATTTTGGTGCATGAATTACGATCCATGGTGGATTCTCTGTGCACTGCGTCTGTCTGATTGTTTACATCTCGCTTTTCATGGGAAAAAAAAGTCACACTGATGATGTAGAGGTCTAAAAAACTAATTTATCAAATATGATATACTTGGCGTTACAGGATGTAAAAAAGAGATTTAAAGATGAAATAGTCATTTGCCTTCAGGTTTGTCTGTTTTATTTTTTTTTACAGTCGTCCTCAAATGTATTCGTCCCCTTCCATTAAAGAAAAGGCAAAATTCACAAAAGTCACTCAAATAACTAGAAACTGAAAAAAGTAATAATAAATAAAAATTTGCTAAATTATAATTTAGTGAAAGAAGACATTGCTTTTGAATTGTGGTTGAAAAGAATAATCGGGGGAAAAAAACTGTTCTGGACAAATTAGAGCACTTGGACTTGCAGGACTTTGACTTGTATCAGAGTAGGTGTGTCAGAAAAGTTTCAGGACTGGTGTCACAAAAGATATAAAAGACAATCCAAACTACAAACTACAAACTACAAGTTTTCCCCTCGAAGTAATCCCCCTGGAGTCTAACACACTTCCCCAGCCTTCTCTGCCACGCCGCCATGCACTCCTGGAAGGATTCTTACGGGATCCTCGTCACAGCCATCTTGATGTCGTCCGCATCTTCAAAACGGGTCCCCTTGATGACCCCTTGAGCTTGGGGAAGAGGAAAAAATCCCACAGAGCCAGGTGGGGTGAGTAGGGAGGTTGCTCCAGCACGGAGATGTTCTTCTCAGCCAGGAACTGTGGGATGCTCAGGGCGTTGTGAGCAGGCGCGTTGTCATGGTGAAGCAGCCAAGACTTGTCCTACTACAACTCTCGCCTCTTCTGGCGCACTGAATGAAGCAAACATGGATCTCTTTGTAGACGTGCTGGTTGATCGTCTGAAGGGGAAACTCGTAGTTTGTAGTTTGGGTTTGAAATATATCTTTTGTGACACCAGTCCTGGAACTTTTCTGACACACCTCGTATGTTTAAGTTGTTGTATTTCTACTTTTACTTAAGTAAAAGATCAGAATACTTGTGAGGCTAGTGCTACTGAAACAAGCCAGTATGGATGTTATTTACTTATCTGCTGTGTGAACTAGTGTAAAATGACTGCTCTGTATTACAGTTTTACACTCTTTGCCTCCACACCATCAAAAACAAATGACATCACATGAATAAATGACAGTAACGACAGCGCTGTGTGTCTGTTTGTGTTGTTTTAGGCCCGATCCAGACCACATGCCCCCACCTGGCTACGATGACATGTTCATGTAGTTCCCGTTTGCTACTCTCATCCTTTCCTCTGGCCGACAGCAGCCGTCTTAACCTGCTCGAGGGTTTGGTTTCACCCAGTTTAGTGGCCCACAAGTGTATGTTTTCTGCTATGTTTGAGGAAGTTTGTTTTCTGAGTTTTCATTCCACATAACATATATACAACTTACCTAAAAGAACCCTGTTTCCTGATGTTAAAAACAAATGGATCAAATATGCATCAGTTTGAAATAGAAGCTGTTATTGATGTCAAACCGACTCTAAAGAAAACACTATGTTGGACTACAAGTTTGAATGAGGACATAGATGCTTAAACTCATATTTTGTCTTAAATGCTAAACATTTGTGAGTTTCATTATTGTGAAGCAGTGAGGCGACGTTTGGATCGGTGAGTCCAGCGGTGTTCATTTAGCTGAAAGGTCACAGCTTCTGACGTAGCAGTCGGTGTAGATTCTCATCTCATTAAACTTCATCTTACAGTTCTGATTTATTAATATAAGAGGAAATTTTCTCTCTTTTTTTTTTGCATTTCTCTTGTGGATATATTGAAAAAAAGCTTGAAATATGGTTCTTTGCAGTTGTTTTTGTTCAGTTTGTTGTTAATTAAAATTGAATTGATTGATGATCTCATGCCAAAATACTCAAATAAAAACCTCTGAGTTTACACGCTGCTCTGTGTTGTTTGTGTTTAGTGCTGCGTTTTGCTAGAAAATGACACATTTAGTTGCAAACAGTAAAGTTAAAGCCCCTACAACCATCTTTTTCATATTCTTTTACTGCTGCTTCCTCCTAACTCTGTTTCTCTGATTTTTTTTTTACATTTCTTTTGCTCATTACTTTCAGCTCAACAAGCTGTTATTTCCCCTGCAGGCAGATGACAAACAGTCATCTCCAGTTGTCTTTATCTGTCCAGGGAGTGCTGAGAGGTAAATATAGTAGCGAACACCACGGGTAGTGGATGCTGTGGTAGTTAAAGAGGGCAAAAAACAGCACACAGTGTGAGCCAGAAATGCTCTGAAAACAGGGAGGAGGAGAGGCAGAAACCAGCTCTGTGACGCTGCACTTTTCCTGAACTGTCTGTTTCTCCTTGATACATTTGCTTTGTTCTAGGACACCAAAGTTGCAATTTAATTTTATGACCACCTAAACCCTCTTAGACCTTCTTGTTTTACTTCTTTGAGAGGCTAAAAAAGAAGCGAGTGGGATGTAAATGATGCTCTGAACTCACAACTCAAGCTCACAGCTGAGTCACACTCACCTGACGTGTCTTCTGTTAAATTTAATTAGTGCTTCTGGCAAAAATGTTCTTACCTTTCGATCAGCAGGTGGTTACACCTAATGTTCCTGTGTGAGCAGAGAGACAAGTGAGGATCTCACTGTGTCTTGTGGAAAACAGTCATGAGTCATCCTGACACCAGAAGAGTCACACTTTTTAAAGGACGACAGCAGAGAGAGAAACGATGAAAAAACAAGACGAGGACGAAGAGAGACAACGAACACGCAGGCAATTGTTTCAGATGTAAATCTGCCAAAGGACTGACAGTGATAATAATGGGAGAGACAGCTGCAGAAAGACTTGAGAAATGCTAAAAATAGGATAAAAAGACAATAACTCAGTTTTTAAAAACCTGAAAATAATCACAACCAGCACAGCAGGGACAGTCAGACGTTTGAAGGGCAACAGCTCAGTGTGAGAAAACACTGCATCACTGGTCGGACCTGCAGAGCTTTCATAGGTCATTGCTTCATCATTAGTGGGGGTTGTCACCGGGCACACCTGCTTCCCATCACGTCATCCGCTCCAGCTGAACATCCACCTGGCTGCTCACCGGCCCCTCACTCCTTCCATCACCCTCAGATGTGGCCACTGTTTCCAGTCCTGCTTTTGTTCTGAGTGAATTGTTTTTTGACTAGACACATTTTCTTGTGCCTCTAATTCTCCCTCATTTGTCAGCCTCCATATTCAGCCTCACTGAGCCTTCAGCCCGCCTGGCCACTCACCTGAAACCCAGCCGCCATTTCCTCCACCTGGTCGGTCACCATTCGCTCACCTTCCTCTGCCTCCAGCAGCACCTCAGCCCTCTGCCTCCAACTGACATCATTCATGTCACGTTTGGTATAAATCTTTTGAACCTTTTCCTGAGTCTGAGCTGCATTTGGGTTCAACTTTTGCTGAATCATAACTGGTTGTTGTGCAATTGCTATGTTTCTATGGTTTTGCTGTGTGGCTCATATATGGTTGTTATGGTTTTACTATGTAGCACTGTTGCCTCGCAGCAANTAGAAACTGAAAAAAGTAATAATAAATAAAAATTTGCTAAATTATAATTTAGTGAAAGAAGACATTGCTTTTGAATTGTGGTTGAAAAGAATAATTGGGGAAAACAAACTGTTCTGGACAAATTAGAGCACTTTGCTGATGAGCTGTGGGCCAAAATAAACAAAACATTTTTATTTATTATTGCTTTTGTCTATTTCAACTTATTGCAGTGACAGCTGTTGTTTTCCTTCTTTAACGGGAGGGATGAATACATTTGAGGATGACTGTATATATTTTATTTACATTTATGCATTTCCATTTTATGTTACTTTATTCTTCCACTCACCTACACTTCAGAGAGAAGTGTTGTACTTTCTGCTCCACTACATTTATCCGACAGCTTTATTTACCTTAAAGACAAACATTTTACACAATGGATTCAGACGTCTATGATTGTCAACAGCTCCATCAAACAGTGATTTTCCCTGTACTTCCCACAAAGTTTAATTTTTGATCCAATATCTCAGAAAAAATCAAAGATATCATGTTTGGAGCTCTCAGATTTATCTGCTGTCTCTGTATGTAAAACTGGATATGAAGCAGCTCAAACCTGCAGCAGCTCCAACAGTAACAAGCTGCTGACACGCTGGTGCTTCACTGTTAATAATGATGACAGAATATTTTGTCAGTTAGAGGGACCAAAGTGTAGAATTAAGTAGGATTTTTCCTGCAGGACTTTGACTTGTATCAGAGTACGAGGTGTGTCAGAAAAGTTTCAGGACTGGTGTCACAAAAGATATAAAAGACAATCCAAACTACAAACTACAAGTTTCCCCCTCGAAGTAATCCCCCTGGAGTCTAACACACTTCCCCAGCCTTCTCTGCCACACCGCCATGCACTCCTGGAAGGATTCTTACGGGATCCTCGTCACAGCCATCTTGATGTCGTCCACATCTTCAAAACGGGTCCCCTTGATGACCTCTTTATCTTGGGGAAGAGGAAAAAATCCCACAGAGCCAGGTGGGGTGAGTAGGGAGGTTGCTCCAGCACGGTGATGTTCTTCTCAGCCAGGAACTGTGGGATGCTCAGGGCGTTGTGAGCAGGCGCGTTGTCATGGTGAAGCAGCCAAGACTTGTCCTACCACAACTCTCGCCTCATCTCGCACACTGAACGAAGCAAACATGGATCTCTTTGTAGACGTGCTGGTTGATCGTCTGAAGGGGAAAACTCGTAGTTTGGGTTTGAAATATATCTTTTGTGACACCAGTCCTGGAACTTTTCTGACACACCTCGTATGTTTAAGTTGTTGTATTTCTACTTTTACT